TGTTGGCTTAAGACAGTCTCATGTAACCCAGGATGGCCTTCAGCTCTCTCTATGTAGCCAAAGGTGACCTTAAATTCTGCAATTTCCTGCCTCCATCTCCCCAGGGCTAGGATTACAGGTGTGTGCCACCATAACCATTCTATATGATTCTGGAGGTGAAGCCAGGGTCTTGTGCATGCTAAGTGAACACTACCAACGGAGCCACAGTCCCTGTCCTGCTTTTTCTCTTAACCTCCCTCCCTCCCTCCCTCCCTCCCTCCCTCCCTTCCTCCCTCTCTTCTTTCCTTCCTCCTCCTTCTTTGCCATTTTTTGAGACAGGGTCTTACTATGTGTCCCTGGCTGGCCTGGAACTCACTATGTAGAGCAGGCTGGCTTCAAACTCACATAGATCCTCTGCTTCTGCCTCCTGTGTGTTGGACTAAGGCATGTGCCACCCTGCCAAGTCCTCCTTTCTCTCTTCACCTCTGTTTTTCTCAGCTCCCCAAAGTCCGTTTCAACTCAAAGGAAATCATGTGTTATACGGTTTGGTTTCTGTGGTGCTGGCAAGGAACCCAGGGCCTTGCTCACTCTACCGCTGAGCTACAGTCCTGCCCAGGCCATGACTTCTGAACCTGAGAGGCTCCTCCTGGCAAACTCTGTGTGGTCCTGCATGCTTCTTGGTGAGCTCATGTCCCTAGGTGTTGGGCAGTGTCCTGCAGATAAAACCTTGACGGTGACATTTTTTAAAGCTGTGTACGCTTTCTTGTAGTTGGGGCAAAGATACTAAAAGAGAAAGGGCCACCTCAGGCCTTGCCTCTAAGATGTGTCCATTTGCCTCTTCTGATGGGTCAGTGCCATACTGCCCAAGAAAGCTGGCTTTGGTATGTGCCCCTGTAGTCCCTGCTACTCAGAAGGGAGGATGGCTTGAGCTCAGAAGTATAAGACTAGCTTGGGTTATATAGCAAGACCTCCTCCTGAAAAAAAAAAAAAAAACCAAAAACATGCCCTCGAAGTTCCCTGGGCTATTCCCTAGGGAACACTCCCTCTGGTGTCTGCAATGGCTAAATCTGAGCCAGGGCAGCAGAATTTCATAATGCTGCTAGTGACTGTTCATGGCTTCCTTCCTGATGCTAAGGACAGGCTTGGGCAGAGGGTGCCAGCTGTGCTCCAGTAGTCTCCCCACCTGGGCAGCACAGCAGCCCTTGTTCAGCCCCTTCCAAGCTATGGGTGCCTGGCAGGCTCCTCAGCTTCTCTATGCCTTGGCATTCTTAGCTATAAAATGGGTACAATCACAATGAGAGGGTAGTGGTTGCTGTTAGAACATTGCCCAGCAGGTAGTGAGCCCCGAGAGTTGTTTCATCATTGTCACAGTCGTCGTCGTTGTCATCCTCCTCCTCCTCCTCCTCCTCGTTACCAGCATCATCTTTTGCTCTGTGCCTCCCCTTATCCAAGTAGGGAATGAGAGTCAGGGACATAAATCAGCCTGAGTCCCCACCTTGTCTAGGTTCACAATCTTGTGAGGATGTCAGACCCTCTGAGGAGCCCTACCTGAAGCATGACGTATAGGCGTGTGGAAGTCACTGGCTTTCACGTCAGTAATATTTATGTAACAGGTGTGAGTGTGAGTGTGAGTGTGAGTGTGTGTGTGTGTGTGTGTGTGTGTGTGTGCAAATGCAAAACAGATTAGTTTGCATTTCCTCCCTCACCCACAACCACTAAGCATTTCCCAGCAGGCCACTGCATCTGTTCCTGTCCACTAACAAGGGAACACATGGCTACACCCAACTTCAAGGGATTGTGGGAAATGTAGTCTCCGGATGGTAGTTTCCTAATTGTCTAAAATCAGGAGGTTGGACCCAGCCACATGTATCTCTCCCTCTTTCCCCTCCCACACCCCCAAACACCCCCCTCCAAATAAATCTGCTCTGCTAGCCATTTGGATTTAGACACACCTCTAGTGACCTCTAGTGACTTCTCAGAAGCTCAGTAAAGCAGAGCATACCGTCCCAAAGGGACTTAGTTCTCAACTCTTGGCTTGGTCTTTACCAGCTCCACCCATAAATATTTCGACCTGCCTCCATGGTGGCCCATGAGTAAGTTTGTGTCCCTGGTCACAATTGGAGCTCTGGAGTCGCAGCCTGTGAGAGACCCTCGACTCTGTGTGCTAACACCTGAATAGACGAACAGCAGAGCTGACTGTTGTTTTTATTTCTGTTGTTCTATTTACCGACAAAGACTTGGGAGTCAGATATTGGATATCTGTCTTCCCAGGTCCTCCATACTCTCTATGGCTAAAATTCTTGTCGTTGGCTCCACCCCCTGATCCAAGGTCAATTTTTTTTTTTAACACAGTGTCCGAGTTTCACAGTGAGATCAAATATCCCACAACAGCTGACCTTGCAGGATTATTGTAAGGTTCAAATGAGACCATCTTTTAAAAGATCTTTTATTGTCTGAAAATTCACAGGCGAGGCCTGTTCCCATTCCTACCTGACTGGTCTGCCAGCATTGCAGGGGGAATCATGGACACGTGCCCTTTGTAACATGATTGACATAATACGGATGCAAGGGGGCACGTGTTTTTGTTTTTAAATTATTTATTGTGTGTGTATATTGGTGTTTTGCGTCCGTGTATATCTGTACATCATGTGCCTGCAGTGCCTCTCCAAGGCCAGAAGAGGGAGTAGGATCCTATGGAACTGGAGTTATGGACCGTTGTGAGCCATGTGGGTACTGGGAATGGAACCCAGCTCCTCTGCAGGAGCAACAAGTACTCTTGTTGTTGTTACTTTGTTTGTTTGAGACAAACTATGTAGCTGTGGCTGGCCTAGAACACCCTACGTAGACCAGGCCAGCCTCAAACTCAAAGATCCCCTGGCCTCTGCCTCCCGACTGCTGGGTACCATCATGCCCAGCTCTAACAAGTGCTCATGACTGCTGACCCATCTCTCCAACTCCTGTTGTTTTTCTATCTTTACATAAATAGATGTAAAAGACAAAAGTAGAGATGTAAGAAGATTCAGAAGGCTGAAGCAGGAGACTTGCCATCAGTTGGAGGCTAGCCTGGACTACATAACAAATGAAAAAATAAAGAAACAGGGCCTGGTGAGATGCCTCTGAGGGTAAAACACCCGAGGCCAAGCCTGAAGACCTGAGTTCAATTCCCAGGATCCACACAGTGGAAAAGTGAATCAGTCCCTGAAAGCTGTTCTCTGACCTCTACTCACACGGACCCACATGTACTCACAGAAGTAATAAACATTAAAAATGAACAGCATTGCCGGGCGGTGGTGGTGCACGCCTT